AAGGAGGGGGCTTTGTAGAAAACGAAGCGTTTGAGAGAGGCGGGGCATATAGGACCTACAATAATGTACAGTATTTGAAAAATAATGTGTTTTTTGAACATTAAAGCATGTCAACATATTCTGTTACACCAAATACACAAAATAATGATCTTTAAAAAAGCATCATATGACCCCTTTAAGGGAGAAAGAGGAAGGGGTAAGAGACATAAACTTAAACTGAAAAAAGCTTGAGATCAAACAGGCTTGCCTGTTGCAAAAGTGCAACAGACACTTACGATTTTGATGTGAGTCGTAACCAGGGCTGTCGCAAGGGGGGTGCGAGGCCCTGTGTGAAGTTGAGGTGTGTGAGGCCCTCTGGAAGGGCTGTAGTAACAAATGCAACTTTCACATGCATCAAATAGACAGATAAACCGAGGGTAAACCTTATCATTCAACTTAACGGTGCACATTCATTTCAGATATAGCCTGAAAGAAAGCGGATTTGTAGCATATTTTCTTGAATTTCTCAGGTAATATCTATGGTTTGACCCATTTCAGAGGCGGCCAAAATTAGAATTAAAAATGCACTGAGGAAAGCTGTCTACGAACTTGACATGCTCGCCGTATATATATATATATATATATATATATATATAGAGCTATATATATTTTCCTAATTCATTACTGTTGGTCATCCTTTACGTTTGTCTGTGGGTTTTGCAAATATTTCACCAATGAAAAGTATTAAAAAGAGCTTGTAACTAAACCTAACACATTTTGGACCATCTCTGTTTGTTTACAATGCAATGGTAAAAAAAGAAATAGTTGTTTGAATATGTACAGCATTTTCTTTACTCAGTAAACACTATAAATATAAAGGCTGAGGTTCTATGAATTTGAGGAGCGGAGTGTAGTCTAGCATTTGTCATCAGTAAAAGCAAGTAGCAGTTAGTCTTAAATAGACTGGGCGTAGCACTTTGTCTTTAAAAACCATGAGATTTTAACCCAAATGACAGAAAAAACTGAGCGCCCACATAGCTTGTATAAACTTTATAACCTGTAAGTTGAAGAAAACATAATGCGATGCACTTACTGCCTCAGATGCAGGCGTTCTAATGACGGGCAAAACACATGGATGTCTGACATTCGCTGGTTAAAAACCTCGCAACTCCACTTGAGCTTGATTTTGGTAAAATTATAATAATATAATGATGTATGCAAGTGTCTGACCATATATAAAGCCACAATATCAACTTTGACAATACAGTGTTTAATTATTTAAAAAATATATATATTTTTAATTTCCTGAAAAGTAGCGGTTTTGAACATAGGCTACAATTTTTCCACCTGACAGCGATTATAAGTTCTACTGCATAATACATTTTTAACAAGCAGAATAATACAGCATCATGATACGCATAGTCTCACTATTAGCTTTGACTTTTAGCTATTAGGTCTATAGTCTTTTGAAGGACAAAAACAATGAACTTTAAAACTATTGGCTTTACGTCATCAAGTCAGCTGTCACTTTATTTATTTTAGAGGCGCGGGGCCCTGTGCGGTCACACACTTGGCACAGCCCTTGTGACCGCTCTGGTTGTAACGTTCATAATGTTCCCCCTTTTTGAGAAGGTAGTAGAGGTAGACAAACATTGTGCTTATTTTGAAAGTGTTGCCAGCAATCTGAAACATCTGAAAAACATTGACCTATGTTATTGCAGTGTGTTTTTGTGGGTAAAACTTAGGAAGCCTGTTTTTCTTTATCTGTCGAGTTGTCTCTTGATTACAAACAAGTTGGCCATTCTAAGAGTGTATAATTGGTTCCCGAGGCATTAACAAAATGACAATTTGTGAAGACCTTCGTAAACTGATTTTTTTTGGTGAAGATTTTAAAAACTGCATGCAACCTATATAAATGAGCAAAAAGTTTTGAATTGGTCCGTTGCTGCTTTAGCTGATGAATATGTTCTTAAACATAAGAATGTTTCATTTCGCACATCTTGTGGCAGCAGTCGCTGGTTTTCAGAAGTGCTTTGTCTGCCGATACAGTGGTGGAGAGCTCTGATTTCTGCAGTCCATGTCCTAACCTGACATCCTCACCACAGTTGGAAGGACTAGAGTTGTTAGCTTTTCAACTGACGTGTGAAGGTTCACAATGAATGGATTTGTATCTTTGGCAGGTAATGCTAGCTCTCGAAGACCAGTCAAGAAACTTTGTGAGACAGGCTCTGCTCAGAGTTTTATGATTGTATTCTCAGCAAGTTTACCTGAAACAGTAAACTGTCAATTTTATAAAACAGTAAAAGGGAAAAAAGCAGTACCTTATTAATATAAGATTTAAAGTAAAAATAAAAATAAAAACGAATTAATTAAATATAACTGCAAACGGCAATTATTGGGGTCCAAGCACATTAGGAAATGGAATAAATATTACATTTGAATTCAGTCAAATGGACAAAGCCATGCTACATGAAACATTTAAAAAGAAAAGGATAAGCAGTGCAGCTACACTTTTGTTCGTAATTCCTGTTATTTGGTACAACGGCGTGAAGTTTGAGTACTTTTTTGTGCTTTTTGTCCCGTAACGATTACATGTTATGTGATGAGGCAGTGAGTAGGCAGTGCTTCACTGCTGCCAGGGACCTATTCAGGGCGTATAGCATTTCCAATACAAATGCGATGTGGTCACATGCGTTTTAGACTACCTCTGTATGTGGTTTCAGTCATCTGAATGGCCTATTCATACCAAGATTAAAACGAATATGCGCCAGGCTAAACAAAAAGGAAATTCACCCTGATACACACAAATGCCCCTTTAGCTGCTCCACCATTCAGAGTAATCAGAATCTATTAATAATCTATTATGATTCTTTTTATTTGCTTACTGAGAGCTGTTTGTAGCAATGGTTATAGGAATAGTTCACCTTAAACATAATTTGTCATTATTTACTCACCCTTAGGTTTTTCAAAACTTTTTTCTGGACACAAAAGAAGACATTTGATATTATTTTTGTCAATCCATTCTTAGGCAATGGAGTCCAAAACTTCAAGCTCCAAAAAGTCATCCCCCATCATCATCCCCCTTTAAAATAATAAAATTTTGTTGCTTTGCAGCCTGAAGTATTTTCCAGCTGTATTTACTCAGTGCAACTAATAACATCCAAGTAGAATATATAACACCAACATGTCAGAAAAAAATAAAATAAAATAAAAAAACTGAATCACTGAGTTGAACCACCTTTTGCTGTAACTACAGCCTTTAGTCTGTTGGGATATGTCTCTGTCTCTGCTAACTTTGCACATCTAGACTTTGCAATATTTGCCCACTCTTCTTTGCAGAACTGCTCAAGTTCAGTTCAATTTGATGGTGACCGTTTATGGACTGCAGTTTTCAAGTCATTCCACAGATTTTCAATAGGGTTTAAGTCTGGGCTCTGACTAGGCCATGCAAGGACATTCAACTTTTTCTCCTTTAACCACTGTGTGCTCAGTTTTGCTGTGTGTCTTGGGTCATTGTCATGTTGGAAGGTAAACCTTCTTCCCATTGACAACTTTCTGGTCAGAGGGCAGCAGATTTTCCTCAGGAATTTGACGGTATTTTGCCCACTCCATTTTTCCTTCTTTCCTTAAGTGCCACAGTCCCTGTTGCAGAGAAAAAAACACAGAACAGGATATTACCACCTCCATGCTTTACTGTAGGAATGCTGTTATTTCGATGGAGCTGTATTGGACTTCTGTCAGACATATCGTTTGGTGTTGAGACCAAATAATTAAATTTTGGTCTCATCTGCCTCAGAATCTTCAAGGTGCGTTTTGGCAAAGCTCAGTCGTGACTGCATGTGGCTTTTCTTGAGGAGTGGCTTTTTTTCTTGCAAGTCTTTTTCATTGAGTCTTCTTCGTCAACACACCGTGACAGATGACCAGACCCAAAAAGTAATAGTTTAGCGGCGATTCCCTCACGTTTTGGTTTCGTTTTGTATCAGTTTTTATTTTTTGGGTTATGGATCATCCCGTATATCTCCTTCTCTTGTTGGAGCAGGGGGATGTACCTCTTGAGGTCCACACGGTGATCTTTGTAGAGATCGCCAACTTCACCAGCTACCCGGACGACTGCCTCTGCACGTTTTACCAGACGAGCCTTAACACTGCATGCAGAGCGAGGTTGTCCGGATGTGGACCTCGAGAGGATTTTGCCGCTTTTGTGGAGTGGGTGCTGGTGAGCAATAACTCGCACCATCGGACTCGCAAGCCCTGCTCCAGACTCAGGCTCCACCACCACCTGCTCCGCCACCGTCGGTCGG